TTTTTCCGTGTCCGGCAACGGATCGCAACCCTCAGTGTCGCCCCCGTACCGGACCGGGACCGGCAACGGGATCGCAACCCTCGGTGCTGCCCCCGCGCCTCGCTCAGCCAGTGAGCGGGAACCGGTCTGTATGTGGGATCCGAACCCTCGGCGGGAGCGCCGCCGCGCTTCCCAAGCGGCGCACTAGCGCAGTGCGCCACCAGGCCGGCCCCTTTTTATGTCCATTAACCAATTTCTCCCTAAACCTCTCTCCCCCCTACTTCTTCCCCTACTCTGTTCTCTCCTTCCGATAGTTCCATTAGTGTGTTTATTGTTTCTTTCTTTCTTTATTATTTTAAAATTATTTTTATATTCTTTATTATTTTTGTGTGTCTGGCCAGTACAAGGATTTCAACTCATGACCTTGGGGTTATGAGGCTACAGTCTAACCAAATGAGCTAAAGTTTACTTATTTTTTAGATCCCACTATGAGTGAGGACATGCAGTATTTCTCTTTCTGTGACTAGCTAATTTCATTTAACATTATCTTCTCCAAGTCCATCTGTGTTGCTGCAAATGTTAGAATTTCATTCTTTGTATGGCAAAGTAGTATTTCATTGTGTGTATATACCACATTTTCCTTATCCAGTCATCCATCAATGGACATTTATGTTGGTTCCATACCTTGGCTATTGTAAATAGATTTGCAATAAACATGGCAGTGCAGGTTTCCCTTCTACATGATGATTTCTGTTCCTTTGGTCGTATACCCAGTAGTGGGATTGTTGGATTGTATCGCATTCCATGTACAATTCTTTGAGAAACCTCCATACTGTTTTCCATAAAGTCTGTACTCACTTACAGTCCCCTCAGCAGTGTAGAAGGTCCCCTTTTCTCTGGATCCTCACCAGCATTTGGCATTCTCTGTCTTTTTGATTTGCATTTCCCTGATGCTTAATGATGAGCATTTTTCATGTGCCTATAGGCCATTTGTATGTGTTCCTTGGAGAAATATTTATTCAGCTCCTTTGCCCCTTTTCTAAATTGGATTTTTTTTTTTACTGTTAAGTTGCTTGAATTCCTTGTGTATTCTAGATAGTAAACCCTTGTCAGATGCATAGTTTGCAAATATTTTCTGCTATTCTGTAGGTTGTCTTTTCACTCAGTTGATTATATTCTTTGCTGCCCAGAAGGTTTTTAGTTTGATATAATATCATTTGTTTATTTATTTATTTTTTTGCCTGTGCTTTTGAGTCTTATTCATAAAGTCTTTGCCCAGTCCTATGACCTGATGAGTTTTCCCTATGTTTCCTTCTGGGAGTTTTATAGTTTCAGGTCTTATATCTGTGCTTTTAATTCATTTTGAGTTGATTAATGTATATGGCATGAAGTATGGGTCTAATTTCATTATTCTACATATGGATATCCAGTTTTCCCCGCACCATTTATTGAAAAGGCTTTCCTTTCCCCAATGTACGTTCTCGGTGCCTTTGTCAAAGATCGGTTGGCTGAAAGTATGTGGAATGGTTTCCAGATTCTCTATTCTGTTCCATTGGTCTATGTGTCTGTTTTAATGACAGTACAGTGCTGTTTTGGTTACAATCACTTTGTAGTATAATTTGAAGTCAGGTGATGTAATGCCTCCAGCTTTATTTCTTTTGCTCAGGGTTGCTTTGGCTATTCAGGGTCTTTTGTTGTATGATATGAATGTTAGGATTGTCTTTTCTGTTTCTGTGAAGAAAGTCATTGGTATTCTGATGGGGATTGCATTGAATCTGTAGATAATTTTGCATAGTATGGACATTTTCATAGTGTTAATTTGTCCAATTCATTGTCCTTCCATCTTTTTGTGTCCTCTTTAACTATTTTCAGCAGTGATTTGTTGTTCTCCTTGTAGAAATCTTTCACCTCCTTTTTAAAATTTACTTGTAAGCATTTTGTTTTATTTTATTTTTTGGTAGCAATAGCAAATGATCTTGCTTTCTTGATAACTTTTTCTTCTAGTTTGTTTTTGGCACATTAAAAACACAACTGATTTTTGTATGTTGATTTTATTTATTTTTTATATTATTTATATTTTTATTGAAGCATAATTAATTATACATACATTTGGTCTACAGTGTTGACTACCATCACCTGTGTACAACATATATCCATCAAATCATTATTGTTAATATATTCATTATTCTTTTCACTCCCTAACCAATCTCTCTTTGGCACCTCCCCTCACCCTCACTGCTAGTAACCACAGATTTGTTCTCTTTTTCTGAAAGATCAATGTACTATTGTGGACTTTCTTTTCTGTCTTTCTTCCCTTCCTCCCTCTTTCCTTCCTTCCTTCCTTCCTTCCTTCCTTCCTTCCTTCCTTCCTTCCTTCCTTCCTTCGTAGTACACACTTATGAGTGAGGATGTGCAGAATTTCTCTTTCTGCACCTGTCTAATTTCACTTATAATAATTTGTTTCCAAGCTCATCCATGTTGCTGCAAATGGTAGAATTTCATTTTATTTTTTATGGCTGAGTAGTGTTTGATTGTGTATATACACCACATTTTTCTTATCCAGTTGTCTGCTTTTGGACATTTAGTTTGGTTCCATATTTTAGTTATAGTAAATAGAGCTATTATGAATATGGGAGTGCAGGTTTCCCTTTGACATGATAATTTCTATTCCTTTGGACATATACCCAGAAGTGGGATGGCTGGATCATGCGGTAGTTCTTTTTTTTTTTTTTTCTTTAATATCGTTATTTATGTATTTATATTATTATTTTCTACATTCTAAGATGTTGTTGCAGAGCAGTTGGTGAGAGGGGGAAACAGGAAGGAGGAAGGAAATAGGATGATAGAAAGAGGAAGGAGGGGGGCATGGTTGAGGCCCATGGTACCCCCCTCATTACTGCAGGGGATACCAGGGGGCTTCCAGGGGATACCAGGGGGCTTGGATCAGTGGCTCAGTTGTTGCTGAGATGGATGAAGATGTCAGTGGGGTGTGGCTGAGGTTCTCTGCCCCCCCCACCACTGCCCCAGCTTGGGAGCCTGGGGCATTTGTGGTGGTGGCTTGGTGGTAGTGGCTGGGCTGGTTATGGCTGTAGGGGGGTCATGGCTGAGACCCCCTGCCCTCCTGCCCTCCCTGGCTTGGGACTCCAAGGGGCTTTCGGTACTTCTAGTATTCTTTGGTGATGTGAGACCTTTACTAGTTAATATCAAACTTTGTGTCTGGTCTGTAGGTAATTTTGGTTTTTTCTTTCAGTTCTTTGTTGGATTATTTGCTGTTCCCACCACTTAAACTCTGCACTGGAACTAATTTGTTGTCCTTTGCTTACTTCTAAAATGGGGGAACTTCCTATGGGTACTGGCACTTGAACTCCGTATTTGAGCTAAATTGCTGCTTTGTGGCTGATTCCCTAGGGAAG